CCCAAAACCCCAAAACCCCAAAACCCCAAAATGCTCAATTTGAACAATTTAACAAATTGATTGATTAAATTCATTTATTCTGTTATTTTGATTTATTCTTTTTCTTAATAAATTTCTCGTGATTTTCCTTTACGAATTCCTGCGCTTTCCTTTGAATATCTTTAATTGACATTTTGATGTCATCATTATCTTCGCCCTTTTCATCTACCTATTGCAACTTATCATCCAAATCATCATTTTGAATCTGCTACTATGCTTGACTCTTTCTCTTTTCATTATCAGGAATCTTCTTCTTGTTTTCCTCAACAGCAGCAACTATATAAATTTAAATAATATGAAATTACCATCTGGAGCGTCTATATAATATCTATCCTTTTCTCTATCTTTAGCCATATTTGTTGGCTATTAAACCTGATTAATTCCTTAGTTCGAATCTAAGCCTTTGCTTTAACATGCTGCATACATCTAAAGGATTTCATTAGTTCTCATTTCTATAATTCCAAGATATTACATCATATTAGATTCAGTTACTCCATGTGTTCCTACTAACTCCTACGTGTGTTCGTTAGCACAACCGATGTTGTCAAAAATATTCTGAATTCCAACTTTAAGAGCATTCATTACCCTTAAAGTTTATAGAAAATCATTCTCCTCATCTTAATCCTCAAATATTTCCTTATACTTTTGTCGAAGTGGCACAGATTTTTCAGGCTTTTAAATTACGCTCTCTGGTGCAATTTTATCCTTATATCTTTGAATGTTTTATGTTTTTTATTTCTCCTCCTCTTCAATCATTTTCTTGTACTTTTGAATTTCTTTTTCAACTGAAGATATTTCCTCATCTAATTTATCATTTTCTGCTATCATATCATTTATAAAGCTAAATCTTGAAAATATTTTAGTCTCCCACTTGACAAACATTTATACCAGCTGATCTAAATTCTATTTCCCAGAAGCCTCTTTAATTTATTAGAAGGCTGTCTCGTACTACTCAACCTACTTGAGTGAGGTTTATAATGTTTCTTTCTTTTCAATGTGATCTCCAAATTTACTATGATGGCTGAGACTGTGGTTGCTATTAAGTCCAAGAGTGTTAAACATCTTGCTGCCAGATTATCTTTAGTTCTTAATATTTGAATTAGCAATTGGAGAAAGGATAGAATCTCTTCCTTGAAATCCTTACCTCTCTGGAGACTTGCCTGTAGGATAGAAATTCACGGTGGAGGATCCTCTCTTGTTTTTACCAGGTGTTGGCATAGTTTTCTAATTGTTCAAAATACCTTTCTTGTCCTTATTATTATTATTGTTATTGCTATCTTTAGTGGTTTTCTAATTACCTTGAGGCTTTGAGTTTTCATCCTCAAATACTCCGTTTTTCTTATCAATATCAATTAATTTCCTCAATTTTCTTAATTCCTCCTCATAATCGATATCTTGTTTTTCAGTCTCTACCTTCAATTCAGATAACTTCTTTCTTATCATTTCCTTTCTTAAGTATATTTCTTCAGCCTCTTTAAGCTCTTTCTCTAAGTCTTTTTTCTTAAGTTTCAGCTCTTCCTTAAGCTTCTTATTAATTTTTTTGTAGACATTCCTTTCTTTTCTTAAATCATCAATGTATGCTCTAAATTTTCTATTCTTTGCAACCGCTTCGTTATATTTCTGCAATTATCTATCTAAGAGATGTTCCTGCTATTTTATTTGAGAGTTTATAGAAGTAAAAATCTTGACTTTTTTTCTACCATTTCCATCCTCACCATTATTTGATATTTATTGCTGCAATGTCGGTTGCTCAATTTTAACTTCTTAGTTCTTTCTGAGTTGAATCCTTTAATCTTCAATTTTCTGCTTAACTTCTTCGATTTCTTTCTTAAGTTCATCTAATCTTAGTCTTTCGTTTTCTGCTTTTTTCTCATAGTTTTCCCTTAACTTTTGTAGCATAGTAATTTGAGAGCCTAGTTGTCTAACACTAAGCTAGCTGCTTCTCTCATCCTGATTTAAAGATTAGAATTGGTAAAATAAATTCTACTTACATTATCGTACATTATTTCTTAAATTGAAATTATAAAATTGTGAGAATTACTTAATTATAATTATTATAGAAAAAATTATATTATAAAATGGACATGCAAAACAGAGCAGGTTCAAAGCCTGGAGCAGGTGGTATGGCTTCTCAGAGTGAATAAAATCTTTAGCATAAGGAACGACTCAAGAGATTGCATATTGAAACAGCTGACGTGTCGAATGATCCTTATATCATGAGAAATCACTTAGGTTCATTTGAATGCAGGTTATGCTTGACACTTCATACTAATGAGGCATCTTATCTAGCTCATACAACTGGTAAAAAGCACTAAACTAATCTTCATAGAAGATAATTGAGAGAAAATAAGGACAACTCAAATTTGCCACAACCTAAGATAAAGCACTAAAAGAAAAATGCAATTAAAATTGGAAGGCCCGGATACAGAGTGATTAAGCAGAAAGATCCAGAGAATGGTTAAAAGTCACTTCTATTTGAAATTGAATACCCTGAGATCGAGCCTAAACTTTAGCCAAGATATAGAATTATGAGTGCATACGAGCAAAAGGTTGAGACTCCTGACGATAAATATCAATATTTACTGTTTGCTGCCGAGCCATATGAGACTGTTGCATTCAAAATACCTAATATGGAAATAGACTATTCAGAAGGCAAGTATTTTGATGCTTGGGATAAAGATCAAAGAAAATATACTCTACAGATATTCTTTAAGGATAAGAAACTCTATGTAACTAAAGTTGTTGCTACAAAGAATTGAAATATTAAAGCTCCCTAATTAATTGTATTTGAAATTATCATTAATTACATTATTTATTCGACTTTTGGGGTTTTGGGGTTTTGGGGTTTTGGGGTTTTGGGGTATGGCCGCAAAATATGCTCCAGGAGAATGATAAGTAATGTAATATAGTTT